AAACATACTTATCGCGACTCAAGGAACAGAAAGAGAGGGGAAACCTGAAAGAGAGACAGAGCTGGAGGGACGAGGGACAGTCGGGAAACAGAGCTGGAAGCAGGACAGGAAGTGAGATCCTTTTCACTTCCTGGTGGTACACACAAAACAATGGCGGACCTACTGGTTGATAATCACAGGATTAGTGACCCATGACTTATTGCTGGTGCAAACAAGAGTTGGCTTAACCCATGCTGTCCAGTGCAAGCCAGTGTAGGCTATAGGCCAACCAAAGTAATTTAAGAGAGAGTTGTACACTTTTTTCATATGTGTGACGTTTGCACAGTAGTCGACATGCTCTTTGCTGTGTTTTGTTAGATTATACATCATTATAGGTTGGTATGCATGTAATGTTTGTTTTTCCAACATTGGCTATAATTAAAAGTTATAATATCCCTGGATCATATGACATGTGAAAATGGTAGCTCACAGAGAAAAACCTACAAAGAAACATATATTTCTTTGTTTATTTTATATATATATATTTCCTTTAGGAGATTGTAAAGACCAGAGCTAAAAAAAAGGGTATTATTGGAATGACAGTTCTTTTCGTCCAGCAAACAGTTCAAAACCCACAGATAATCAATTGACAAACACATAACACAAAGAAATTCAGCATTATCCTCACAATTGAGAAGCTGGAACTATGTAGTGTTTTAATAGGTTATCAAAAATATTTGCTCGTTAATTGTGATTAATTATCTGTCAACTAATCCATGAAATAAAATCCTATCTCATTTGACCCACACACAAAAAGCCTTTCCCATGGGAACCATTTAATAAGCTTCATATCGCCTCCTAATTACTGATACAGTTTGCTTTATATATCAGCCTACTTTTAATCTTGTGTTATCTAGTGGAGATATTTTTATCGGTGCACTTCAAAGGCATGATACAACGCTAGCTATTTTAAAACAGACAACCAAAAACAGGCATGATGCAGGAATGGTTAAGAAAACTCTTAGAAACACTTTGTTCAACAATCACTTTTTGTAGTACTCTGGGCACATGCTGATTTTGCACCATCTCTGCCAGCATGATTATTTCATCAGCCTCCCTGCGTTGACACTATTTGTGTACTTTTCCGAAAACTGGAGCAGTGCATTCCGCTCCACTTAAACCTGTCCAGTACAATGTCCTGTAGTCGAATGCTATCGGTGTCATGCTGCTCTGTCGTAACGACCCTTCATTCTTTGTTCAGCCTATTAAAATCACAAAGGCCATTAAGCAGGAGGATCATGTGATACAGTACATGAGTGTTTGCCCTTTAATTTTCCTTGTTGTGCTGGTTGGTAGAGGCTCAAAGTCCCACATGCAGCTCTTGTTAATGAGACTACTATAGAAGCATTCACTGCAAATATTAACTGCATATGTGTGTGAGTTTTTGAGACGTTTAGTTTACAGTAATGTCTTGTTCCATAATCTTAAGAAGAGCAACCCACAAACCATTATTTGACCACACAAGTCACCTACCTGAATTGTTATTACAGTATGAATAGAAGCAATAAGCTAATTGTTCTATGGACAGGCAATGTGTATAGAATGAGTAGCTAAATGCTTCTGTGTACAAAGAGGAAGTCCTGCTCCATATCAAGCAAGTGAAATGAACCAGAAACACTGGGGAAATGCACTTCTGAGACACAGATAAGTTGTGCAGGTGTGCTTTATGACTGGTTTCTCTGTAAAGCCAGGTGGGTGGTGGCGAAGTTGATAGGGACTTGGCTTGGCAACAGGAAGGTCACCAGTTCAAGTCCTGGCAAGACCAAGTCCTACCGAGGTGTCCCTGAGCAAGGCACCGTTCCCTACACTGCTCCCCGGGCACCGTACATAATGGCAGCACACTGCTCCTAACACTAGGATGGGTCAAATGCAGAGAAACAATTTCCCCACGGGGATTAATAAAGTATATCATATCATATCCTCTAGGAATTAATAAATTACGTTACATATTTCTGTCTGATAGAGAAGAGGAGTGTTGACTCCTCTGTAGACACAGGGGAGGAGGTTCAGATGAGGTAAACTCGTGGGTGAAAGCTTTTGTACGTTTGCACACTTGGATTGAAACGTTTGTTGTTCCGCAGTTTCTTGACTCGAAGAAACTGACAACCAACCACAGCATGAACAAATCTTTACTGAAGCGAGTATACAGAGTTGGCTGTCTAGTGTTACTGGCAGTGTTTGTAATATTCCCGAAAAGCTCTGAACAAAGACAATATACAGTACCTAGTGCACTAGCTTATTCCTTTTTTCCTTTTTTCAGTTTTTCTGTCTTTATGAAACAGCACTCTAACTTATTTATAGTCAGGTTACACAGTTACACATCTGACTGCTATATTAGGTTGCACAGATTTGTGTGGTCTACCATCTTTTATGGCAACTCTGCGGAGTCTCTTCTGGGTTTTTCTTTGTCTTGGGGGGGTATAACTTAACCGTACACATTGGTAACAGTTATATTGCATGGTGCCTTTTTTATATCCTGTGTCAATCACCTTACATTTAAATATCCACCTTAAATGCAAATATCAAGTGTACATATCAAGTCAATTCCCACGTTAAGTGACACCTCACTATCTGCCAGATGTGACTATTCCTGTTTTTTAATTGTTTATGTGTAGGAGTGGGTTTGCTTTGCTGCTGTTTCCGGATCATAAAGGCACTCAATTACAGCAGCAAGTTCCACCCTTCCTGATATCCACAAAACACGATAAGAAGATAACTTGCTACTGTGTTGAATAATATATACAAAGAACTCTCCAAGTTCCTTTTACACTCTCTTTGAAGGTTTCAGTAAGACTTTCAGTTCTTCCACCACTTCTCCAGTGTACCTATTTTTGGTATTGGAATGCATCGTTGCCCTGCATGCGGCTTGAACAACACATGACTGGCCGTATGAAAATCATGAGACTTTTCCGACCGGCTTACTTCAAATATAGCACCCCGATGTGAAAACAAGGAGTCGTAAATACTTCACCATATGGGATGTGTCCTTTTTATAGCTGTAGTTGTTTCCTGCTGTGTCATGTTTCACTGCTCATCAATCATAGCCTCAGACAGATGAACATTCTCTGACTTCTCTGATCCACTTTCACTTACAGTACTTTTTGTGAATTACTCTGCCCCACAGGCTTTCCTCTAAGAAATAGTTTAGCAGAGGTGAAATGGGTGATAAGTCCATATTCAGACTGTCTAATGATCTATTCAGTGAGTAGAAAGATGACAGTCTTAACATTTGCTTTTCTGTGTGAAATGGTTACTTTTTTTTTTTTTTATGAAGGCAAAGGTTTATTAAATTGCGTGGATTTAAAAAGGAAATGTTTGCAGGAGTATAGAAAACATTTCAGTTGAGGTAACTCACAAAATGTAAAAGTTATTCCCAGAAATCAAAAGATAATATCCTTTTAATGGACCCTCTTGTTGACAACATCCGTGTGTTTTTAGACATGCCTGCATGCACAATTATGATTTTGTATATGGCATATCTTTTTAAAGGATGGTGCTTTAACTCAAATCTGCCAGTGTCTTTTTGACTTTTTTTCTTCTATGATACCGTTGCTGAAATTCATCAAATACTTGTTGTGTCTTAAAGGAAGGTTTTCCCTGATCCTTTTTTTTTTTTGTAGAAAGTCTAAGCTGTTCTTGGAAGTACTCGGTGTAGTATGCTCATCACAGACATGGAAAAGCACCTGGTGGATTCATATATCTTTTCCACATGTCTCTGTCAGTGCTCAGCTGAGGGTTTTTATGTCCAATCTGTTATTTCTAGTCTGTTAGAAAAGGTTCTCGTCTTACACGGTCTCCTGAATAGCATCTCACCTCTTGCTTTAGTGCTTTGAATCACATATTTCTCCGCTCTTAGTTATCTTGAATTCATTTCAAGTTTACAAAACACCAACATTGAAGCATTAATATTCCATTACTAGTCCACAGTGATGTCTCTGGTGCAGGCTGCAGAGCTCCGCGGTCATCCTAGCAGTTTCAGTGACAGAAGGGACTTTAATAGCCTTTTTCCACCAGCTGTGCAAAATGTATTGCAGTGATTGCACTTGGGTGTTTGCCACAGAGGCTATTTACACCATGTTTAAAATAGGGTACAGTTTGCCACCACAAGTTTTTCTGGAGTCAGAGAGTTCACCCTCTGATCACGTGAAGGTCACTATCGGGTCAGATTTAATACTGTACACAGATGGTTTCAGAGAGAGCTCACTAATGAACCTGGGGTGCCAACATGTTTGATGTGCACAGATTTAGTTCTCCACCTTCTCTGTTATCAAGTTAAGGGCACACACTTACAGCATGCAGCTTTAATAACACATTTTCTACACTTGTCTTAATGTAAGTTCACCTTTTTAAATACGTCGCTACTTCTTGCCTACTTTGACAATTGCAATTGTGGTTGATTATAGTGTGTGAGGCATTGTAAAAATGGTGTTTTTGTAATGTGAGTTTAGTTTTTATGCTAGATGTAGGAGCTCTTAAAGCCTACTGTGCTGTATTTACTGCCATTAGCTTGCAGTCTCTCTGAGATCAGTCTTTCATGGTTGAAGCTTTCGAGTAGCTGACTTCTCTCTATCTGATCAGCCTGTCAGTTATACAAATGTGGGGCCATTTGGATTGTGCATGTGTTTCAATTGGCTGTGTGTGTGCGCTCTCACAAGTGGAGACACATGTTTTGTGTGGGCCATAGCAACGCCAAAAAAATCATTATCTGAGAAAAATTGCTCACATTAAGGTCATCGCAACCATTTTGCCTTCACAGACTTGCTAATGTCTTAACGCCTGTAAATATCTAATGATGCACAATATTGGAATTTTAACATTATTATCATAGATAAGTAAATGACTGATATAACCTTTCTTTGACTAGTTCAGTTAAAACAATGCACAACAATATGAACAGTTCTTAGGTCTGCTGATGATGGTGGTGATAATCATACCTTTCTCTCACACATTTTCCTCCTCAGGCCAATGAGTGGAACAAGAATGACGAGCGCCTGCTTGCGGCAGTGGAGCACGGCGAGGCGGAGAAGGTGGCTCCGCTCCTCGCCAAGAAGGGTGCCAGCTCCGTAAAGCTGGACAGCGAAGGGAAATCAGCGTAAGCATTCTTATTGTTATTTACAAAAGGATAAAAGGAAGATGGCTGTGAATATATTTAGCATGCAGTATGCAACGGCTTCTGTAGGATGTATGCGGTCGGTGCTAGGGGAAGCAGCTTCAATCAAAAAGGAAAAAGATTTAGATTCTGCTACACTAACAAGGTTGCTAACTAAAACCAGAGTAGAACAAGATGTCCAGTTTGCAGCCTAGATAAAGTGCAGCTTTTAGATAACTACCTGGGTCTCAGCTCACACTTTAATAGCACCGGTTTTAATAAGAAATAGGGTAATTGTGGTAAAATAAAAATGGGTGATTCAATTTAGAGGAAACCTTATCCAGTCCTGGTGATTTTTGTGTTTTCTTTCAGTTCTAGGATTCTTGGGCTTATGTAACCACTTTCACGCTCCACAGCACCATGTTAAAAATGAATGACCAATCTAAAAATATAGCTTTATTTTTAAGTCCCTGAAAGGTTGACATTTTCCAACATTCATTCAACCTCACTGATTATCAGTGTTGTGAAATCCACTTCATTTCTGCAGAGGGGGTGAAGCGCGTTGCCTCACCAGTTGAGATTGTTGATAACACAGAGGCTCAGTGTTAATATTTGACCTCCTTTCTTTTTTCTGAAACGCAACACCCACTGACCTCAATGTGTTTAGCAGCTCACGCAGAGCCAGGAACATCAAAACCCAGGAACAAATGCAAGGAGAAAGAAATGTGTAGATTCTATCATGCTGAGACCAACACGCAGCCATTTTTATTTCATCAATAGCTCACATCCCCAACCTTTGTGAGTCAAAAGCAGAAACACGCATACAAATCCACACTCGCCGGCTTTGTAAATTATGATGAATGTGATGTTTTGGGATCTCAATGCTTCAATCTTTTCATGGCTCACAAAGGAGGAGTCTACAGTATCTCTATGGTGATACAACCTGATTGAAAGGAATGTGGGCATAGTTGCCGTGTGTTAGTGTGTGAGTGTGGAACCCATGCACACACCAAGGGAATGCCGGGCATGTTTAGAGATTTTCTTTCTCTGTGCATTCTGCTCGCTGACCTGGAAAAAGGGTTGTATTGATTTTCTACTGCACACATACTGTACGCACAAACAGACAATAATGTGTATGAATAAAACACATTATTGTGTTATTGTGGTTTTACAAAGGGGAAGATGCTCTATGAGCAAAGTCGTTGTACTTTTGTATGATGGCAATAAAGATATATTAGATTCTGTTTTCCCATCATGACATTCTCAAAGTTAATCTAAATCTAGGAAATATGTAAAATAGCTCTCATGCAAACGTCTTTGTGATTTTATAAAGCCTGACTTTGTTTTGTGTGTGTGTGTACAGTCTTCATGTGGCGGCTGCACGTGGACACACAGACTGCCTCTCTGTCATCCTGGCCCATGGAGCTGACCTGTCAATCACTGATGCTGCAGGTAGGCACTGCAGTTTATAAAGTGAAGATAACATGTCTAGGGATGGTTAGGAATTTCAGCATGCTACCATTATTTTCATAGTAATGTTTTTAGAGTCCAAAAGTCCTACTTCCAAGATGTATTTGTGTGGTCTTCTTCTACCTTTCATTTTATCAAATTTGGATTAATATATTTCCGCCTAATAAATACATCAACTATGCCCTGTCTTTTATTTATGTTCAGGTTTAAATCCGTTGCATCTTGCTGCCAAAAACAATCACATCGAGTGCTGCAAAAAGCTCATTCAGGTAAGGTGGATGGAATTAAGAATGCTCTTAAAAGTACCAATTAAACAATACAATGTACTTTTCTAACTGCCCTTAAAACAATGTGACAATTTGGTTCAAGCCATGCTTTTTTTACACTACGGTTCATCATAAGTTAACTGTACAGTATTTGTGCACTTTCAACAAAAAGTGAGAAATATGCAGCTGAGAATGTTTTCGGGCCACTCAGCAGGACTGTTCTCGGACACATTGCTTTGTGTCTCCAATAAGGAATGTGTGAACGCAGGAGCATGAGCTGTTGGAAACCTCCAGTACACTCTGAAGAGTCACACTGTTGTGTTAAGATGTCTGACAGCAGACCGTTTCACTGGATCATTCCTTCAGTCTGCTGATTGTGTGTGTGTGCATCTGCGTAGATCAGCAAACCGCAGCAGGACGAGACACACACACACACTTTCACACACTCTTACTGCTCTAATCTGCTGACCTAACTATCCCATGATAGTTTGCAGCATCTGCTGGTACACACATCAACAATTTTAAAGCTCCAAACACCTTACTGCCCCTGTGCCCCAAACGGCTGCAACCTAACAGCACAGGAAGCTGCAAGCTGGTAGCTGTTTGTTTACAACTGACAATCAATAAAGTTGTTATTCCTAAAATTTCACACAGCTACATTTTTGAGGAAAGTTTTGAACCGTTATGATAAATGTAGAAAAAGAATCAAATGATCATACAGACAGAGCAGGTTGATGGAGAGTGGAGACTAAATCACAGCAGTTACTCGCATAACTAGAGTTTTACGAAGAAGATTTAGATTCTTAATAATGAAGGAATCATTCGTTTGCATGTCTAATATGTTTCTGTTTCCCCTCCAGAGTAAGTGTCCTATCGATGCAGTGGACAGTTCAGGGAAGGCTGCTCTTCACCACGCTGGTAAGGTTCTCAGCGTCCTGAGAGTTAATAAACAGATACAATAAATGAAGATTAGCCTGCTTAGACAAGAACGTGGGAAAATATCTTGTGAGATTAGGTTTGAGCTCTGATTCTATTTGGATGAAATCCTCTACAATATTTTATAGTGATTTAAGCGTAGTATCTTCCCAGTCTGTTGTCAAATGTTCCCACAATGCTTAGCTGTTCATTCAATCCGAACTCTCTCTTACACACCTTATCATTTCTTTCTTGAGCCTGAGATTGAGGACTTTGTATGTTTTTAAAGGAGAAGGAAATCATGTGCAACCCATCTTTTTTTAATTTGGTCTTTTTGAAATCAGAGAGGAGGATGAAGCAGATGCATATCTAAATGAAATCCTAAGGCTAACTGCTATAGACCACACTGCTATCTCTGGACTTCTTTCTTCATCTTTTCATGGCTGACTTTCTGATTGTTTCTTTTAATCCTCAGCTGCCAGCGGGAACATCCAGACCGTCCAACTGCTGTGTGAACTCAAAACTCCCGTCAACCTAAAAGATGCAGTATGTATTTTTACTCCTTCTTTTTTCCCAGACTTATTTTCCTGGCAGGATAGTAAGGGGGCCTGAAACGGGATAAAAACCACAGAAATGCTTCATTCAGTGTGATTCATACCCCTCTCTAATTTGTTATTTCCAGAGAGAAATATGTTCAAGAGAGTTGAATGCTTTGGGTTTCTTTTTCTGGAAATTACCAGACAATTGGTCCTGTGGTTGCAACATGATGCTTTCTGCAATTATCTTCTGTAAAATATCTTATTTAACTATTATTATTTACTATTATGTCCCTTGATTTGCTTTCTAAAGAGCAGAGGTAAAATGGTATTTGTTTAAAGGTGGGGTAGGTCATTTTGGAGAAACCAGCTAGAATTTGAAAATACACAGCCGGAAGAAATGTGCCACTTCCTTACAGAGCCCCTCCTCCAACATACACAAACGCGCACATGACCAATGAGAGCACGAGATAAGTTTGTGCACAGATGGAAGGCTGACAGGCAGGTAGGCCATCCAGTTACTTTAGCCGGGCCGGCTCAGATGATTGTTCGTGCTTTTTACAGTACTACGGCTTCCACAGATGACATGTTTGTATGGATTTTTTGTCAAAGCACTTCAGATATTCATTGCTATCGGGATGTTAAGAGCATTCCATGGAATATAACAACAAGTGTATCTCGAGCCGGTTTCTCAAGACCTACCCCACCTTTAATTGTAACACTATTGGTTAAATGTCACAACTCATACTGCTATCTTGGGTGTTATGGAGCGTTTTCACACCTCACTGGGTATTGGAGCAACTTAACTGGAGATAATTAGGACATTTTGACTGTACAAACTGACAAGATGTGCCTGAATGCACCATTAGTTTTGGTCTCTAGAGTCAGATAGGGAGAAAGAGCAGGTCTCACGTGGCCTTCAGGTTCGCCTTGAGGGCCACTTTATTCTGAGCATCTGGCCCCAGAATTTGCGAACAGCCACATACACATATGAACAAACATGTTGTGTGCAGCAATGCTTTGTAAATACTTATTTGTTTGTGTTTTACGTAATAAACCCACCCGACTCTTTCGACATTAAAAACCTACTCCCCTTGTGTTGCGTGTGATCTGCTGCAGACTGTGTTTGCACAACGAGTCCTCCTTTGTGCATAGCAATACAGTTTTAAAAATGGAATTGCAATTAGAGTAGAGAAAGTGGGTCACTCCTGACAGCGGGGATGTGCAGCAGAAAGCACTATGCGCTTGTCATGTCATCTCTCACTAAGCTGCAGTCACTCAGGATCCCCGGTGTCAGTGCGACACTGTGTTCAGGTTCAATCCATTTTAAAAAGCAACTTGTCCACTTTTCTCCTTACTGGCCATTACCTTTCACAGTGAGAGCCTCCAATATGTTGGATGACAGCTGTCATTTCTTATGGCGCCCAATGAATGCACATATTTATATTATTTTGTTATGTTAATGCCATAATGTTGCATCTGTTCACATTATATATTTATACATATACACATTTGTTTATACAACGTACATCTCCCTATATGCAGATTTTCCTTCTACTGTACATTATTGTATTTTAAAGGGGACCTATCATGCAAAATGCACTTTTTTATGTCTTTTATACATAAATATGTGTCCGCGGTGTGTCGGGGAACTCACGCAGCGTTAGAAAATAAAACCCTTTCTCTTTTCCTCCGAACCCAAATCTCTAAAAACGGGGGAACAACGGAGCTGATCCAGATTTGCGTCCGATATGACGTAATATCGAAAATGTAGGCTGGCTTTACACCCACGGCCCTATCAGAAACGTTGCTATCAGAAACAATGCCCGACTGTTTTGGATGTAATATGGTCGGTGTTGACATTAGCCTCGCTAACACTCAGCAAAAATCATTTTGATAATCTAAATGTAAAACTTTAACCTTTTTCTAAGGTTAAAGTTTTACATTTATAAGAAGAAAAGTGTGATATTTTCTGGAATTAAAGTGGTTTATTAACCAGACACATAAACTGCCGCTTTCCGTGTATAATGCCCGCACTGGACCAAACCTAACCAAATTATACTTTGGAATTGGATTTCGCAGAAAGGAAGGGCTTGTATTTGAGCTCAGGAAAAAGCATATTATCATACGCATCTGTATTTTGAAAAAGAAATGGGCCTCCATTAATACACAAGCTATGCAAACCCCTTCTAAGGGACAACATGGGTCAAAAAGTACCCGTATTGACTTACAATGTTATTTCGTGCATGGCTGAGTGTTTAGCTATATTTTGGAAATCAATTTATTTAAT